ATCAATAGGAACTTACTTTTCCATCTAACGATTTGAGCACTCTTTATTCGGTCCCGAAATTCAAAATTTTGATTAGAAACACTCACTCAGTTTCAGATTCCATTGTTTTTAACTCCAAGGGTCATTTTGATTCAAAATACACTGAAAATGGCAAAAGAAGGCCATTCCAAGTTCAGGCATGCAACAATTTTCTAGAGCAAATAAACGATCGGTTCTAATCTATTGGTAAAAACGATCGTTGCGAGGTCGCGAAATTTTGAGTACATAGCCCAAAAATAATAAATTTCACAGCATATGCATTCAGTTTGATAGCGAAAGAGTGAATGCTTTGCTGAAAGTGTTATTTTCGGTCGCTTTATATGGAAATAACTATTTTTGCCATATAGAAAGATGACCATACTTTAGAGACATTTCCGATGAAAAGAGCATTCTTAATCATGTGTACCAAAATTTTCAAGAAGTTAAGAACTCCTAAAAAGTGTACCTTCCCGTGTACAAAAAAGTGACTGTTTTAGGACAAACTGACTGACTATCGACTATAAAAACAAGCAACCTTAGTTAAATTTAGTTGGCCGTCCGTAGTCAAAACGTTCCAAATCAATCGCCTGACTGACTGAGTGACTATAGTCTTACAGTCAATAGTGACTTGGTCACCTTTTTCCACACAGATTTCCAGACATGGTTCCGTTTCTCGTCACATTATAAAGAAAATTATATACGTTTATATCGTACAAAGTATCGATATTTCAGAAAACTATTGCGAATAATCATTGTAATACGAATCAACCTATGGGAATTTTTTGGTCCATCCGATCGCTTATGCTACACTTCATTGATATTTTTTCATCTGCGAATATATTTGCTGTTATATTGAATTTAGTGTATTAAGTTTTTTTTTCATTGTATTTTGATCAGTTGTTTTTTCTTCATTCATCCGATTAATTTGTTTCATCGCCAAACTGTCCAATAATTCATCTCCATTTCAAATGGAAATCAAATGCAAATTTTGTATATTGAAAACATTTCGTTTTTCCCCCATATACCGAAAACGTTGAAAATAAACACACGCACTTAAATCTGATTTATAACTGTTTACCCTTTTGGCACGCATCACATTGCGTCAGCAATTAAAATTACTTTGTATTATTGGTTTTGAAATTTAAATTTCAAGCTGGGTATCACAGTAAGCAGCAATCACATCATATATTATTTTGTAACAATGTCGGTGTTATTGTTTGTTGTTGATGTTGATTTTGTTTTATGTTTGTGTGCGGTTTTATACAAAATTTCAACAAAATAATTGGTTGAAAACTATAAAATGACGACGAACTATTTATGTATTACGGATTATGTTGTCGAAAAGCTATTTGCGCTTCACCGAAAAATCTCTGATAAACCAACACAAATTCATCAAACATTTAATCTTGTGCAAGTAAGTCGATTAACTAACTTTCGTGTCAGTCTTAAATGGGAAATTGTTTTGAGTGAAGAGAGTTATTTATACAATTTTCATGTCGAACACCCCTTCCCCTCTGCTCGGAAAGAATTCAATTCAATTCAATTCAATGCCGGTCCACTTGGAGAGAACAGACAATGTTACATCGAATCCGACGCGCATTTGTTATTATAAAGTTTTGTTATTTTCTTATTTCTCCAAGTCGAACTATTGGAATAAAATTTGCCATTGGGCGATGAGCTTAGTTTTAGTGTGCATTTGTTATTTGTGTTTACTGCAAAAAAAGTTAGATGTGATGGTAAAAACCCCAAAATCGCTACCCGTTTTTTCTATTTTAAGCTATAATAAAAGACATTTTGTAAAACAATAAATAATAATAGAATGGCGATGAAAGAACCTTGAAAATGGCATTTTGTTTGGATGTGAAAAGATAAATTGTGTCTTCTTTCAAGAGCAATTACAACTATTATTCATTTTGTTCTTAAAATTCGCTTATCATCTGTATGCATTCGCGAACCAAGTGAATTTCGAACACGGACAAATGCAATTTGCTATGAAAACTTTTAAACAATCGTTTTCATCGCAAATATTTATTGTTTAACTCTCATGGCATCAACACGCAGAGAATTCAATGGTCCATGTATTCGAGTTACGCTGTTAACATTTTTAAGCAGTTTAAATCATGCGATTGATGCTTACGAACAAATACTATAGAGGATGCACATTCAAGTCTAGCGAATTGAATTCAATTTCACCAGAGCCATTTCTTTGAGGCTTTGGTTTCATTTTCCTCCTCACATTTTAAAACGGATAATTCACGATTCGCCAGGGAAACTAAAGGAAAAGCATAATTTCACGTGGAAGTACAAAAAAAACACCACTATACAAAATAAATATGATTAAATGAACGGTCCGAATTTTCAGCATAAAGCCTACAAGTTTACAAACAATGCCACACAAAAAGTCTCACCATACTTACTTGAAGTGAAAAAAAAACGTTCGTGCTGTTGTTGCGAATAACGAATGGAAACGGCATTTATGTAAAGCAATCATAATCCAATCCTTGTAACGCTAACGGTACTTCTAACGAATATTAAATAAATTTAACGACATTATTTTGTATGCATTAACAATAAAAGTGGATGTGTTTTTTTCTGTTCATCTTCCGTTGGCTCTCACGCATACCATTTCTTTTATCATCACATCAGTATTGTATTTGAAGTGCAGAAGTGCAAGCAAGCGAAATCACAAGAACAGACTTTGATAGCACAACTGTTGAAAATTCATTATTTGGTTTTGTTGTTGGCGGAAGAGTGACGGCGGTGAGAGATTCAACTACCATGAGAACGTTAACGAGTGTGTACATAACAACTGATATTAAAGCGGAATAAAACAGTGTAACAACGAATCCAAGCAGTCAAACCAATTTAAAATGATTACCTGGCTTAAAATTTGCATTGTATTGAAAATATAAGGAGCAACTTTCATTGTTGCTGTTGCTGTTTTCTATTACCGCCCAATTGAAGGAAACCATTATCTATCTATAGCATGCTACACTCCATGGCATGCCCAAGCTTTTGATGCAACGAACGAAACCAATTCGAACACTTTTTATTTTTATTACAGTGTGTTTTTTTTTCTTCCTCTTGGCTCCGATTACTATTAATGAATTGGAATATTTATTCGATTCCATCGTTGCAAACAAAATTAAAAACAGACACACACACACATCTCTATCTCTCTATAAATTGTGTTTTTTCTGTTATACATTTTGAATAATTTGATGAATCAAACTGCTTCAAAATCATGTGAATCAAATATTCGAAATAACATCACGTAAATATGTTCGTAGTATTTACCGTTTTTATTGTTAATTTTGTGAAATACATTGATTATTATTGTTATTGTGATGAAAAGTTCAATGACAATTTCACAGAGTGTTGACAAATATACTTAACTTCACTTGAAAAAATGGTTCGAATCAACAAAAATGTTTTTTTTTTCATTCATGTTTACAATCATTCGATAAAAAGCTGTTTTTTTCTCAATGGAAAAATTTGACGAAAAAAAAAACATTCCCACACAATTTGACTCAATATATATATTTCGCTCAAGTTTTTCATTTTGCTTACCGACACACCGAACTTCCCTAATATGTTCGAAACAACTTATTCAAATTCAAATGATTTATAGACCGAAGGTAAAAAATGTCTCCATATAATCATTTATTTGACAAAATGTTTGGCGAATAACTTAATTTCCTTGCTAAATACTCTATAACCAAAGAAATATTCGTCGGTTTTTTTTTGGTAAATGTGAGTGTGTGCCTTATGCAAAATTTCTTCTGGTTCTATTCCCGAAGTCCAGTTGGTTTCGATTTTTGGCTCAAAAACGAAAAATTTGTATTGAAATTTCTTCAAACTTTCAGAATGTTATTTTTATGAGGCTTCCATACAAAAATTCAATATTTTGTGATTTTTTCATAGAAACTGTGTCAAAAATTAATTGCATCTCAAAACTAACGCCGGATTTCGTTTTCCCGTACCCAAAAAACCCCTATTACACATTCCAAACTTTGATTTAAGTCTCTGGGGAAAGATTTATCGAGTTAACAAATATTTGGTCGTTTTTCTACCGCCAATGTTTATTAAAAGTGTCCTTTTTTTGTAACAGAGTCGCTGCATCATTTCAACACGCTTGATTGCCCGAAGCCGTCAAGAGTATGAGCAAATTGCCATTCGCTTAGGAAACGATCGAGAATATTTGTAATGCAACTCTATGAAGATATTGATAATTAGCAGCTGAACAGATCTATGCAGAAGATAATACTGCTTTCGAGCGGACCGATCAGCCAAACAACGGTCGCATTTGAATATAAACAAACTGTAACACACCACATCAAACTATACATTGGAATCACATTTCTACTGTGAGCATTCGACTCTGTTTTTTTTTTTTCATTTCATTTTCATCGAGGGTGAAATTCAATTTGGGAAAAGTTTTTTTTTTTTTCAAAGAATTTGGAGAGGTGCTGTAAGAGCACATTGCATTTTGAACATTTCACAATCATTTATATTATTAATTTTTTAAATTATTTTTTTTTGCTGTCGATACAATTTAATCGTGAAGAACTTAAAAAAAAACAATTGACATAAAATGAGTTATAATTATTTCAATGTATAAATGGAAAACAGTGTAGATTTATATATTACAAAAAAGAACTTCATTTTCATTTGTATTACACATGATAACTAGCAAAATGAACTTAAATTCTATCCTAGAAGAATATAATCAACATCATTAATAGTATGCAATTCTTTTGTTTGCCTTGAACGTTTTGCGTATCCGTCATTATTCAATTATACATTGCCATCTCAAAGATGCGTTTTAGTTAACACAAAAAAAAACAATCGGAAACATTTTGAATTTGAATACCCGTTGCGCCATCTGTTGTTAATATGACAAACGGAACAACGACCAAACTGTTCACAGTGTATGTTTGACAGATGCTACGAATTGTTTTAAAACGCCATTCGCTCGTCATTACCGCGCTTCAGACGTCTTGCGCCTAATTTCGCAACAATTTTAATTATTCTTTGTTTTTGTTTCGTGAATCACCAATCGTGATGCAATTTATTTAGTTTCAATCACAAGTGAAAAATACAAATTGAAAACAATCAAATAATTGTGCACGATATTTGGAAAAAACTCAAGAATTCAAGCGCCACAGACGAGCGTATTGAATTGTCATTCATCGTGTGTGTGCACAGAATATTTTTCAAACGGTAAGTTAGTTGGTATTCCAAACGAAATTATCTTATGTACTTTGAGCGCATGAATTGATAAAGAAAGTGTTTAATAACAAAATGAATGCATCGTTTTGAACATAGTATACACGCGAATTTTGTCATATGATGCCATTTATTTTCTGTCATTTGTTTTAAATTTGAATGTTAGGTTATGTTTTATTGAATTCATTTCAAGTATATATTTTGTGAATTTTTGTGTGTGCCTTGGAATATAGTGAATAAGAAAAATGTTTGGAGGAGCACCAAAATTTGGATCGCCATTTGGCCAAAATCAACAATCAACATTTGGTAAACCAGCAACATTCGGAGCAAATACATTCGGGCAACAGTCAACACTTTTTACGCAGCCAGCAACAAGCGTATTCGGTCAGCCAGCAGCGCCGAGTTTTGGAGCACCTGCACCAACATTTGGACAGCCAGCAACAACCCAATCGGCATTTGGATGTGAGTTTTTGTTACACTAATATTTATTTTCCGTATAATTTCGTTCATTCAATTTTGAATGTAAACTGAAAACAAAATCCTTTATTCAATTCGATCTCTAGCCTTTGGCCAACAACAGCCACAACAACAACAACCGACTACATCGTTGTTCGGTCAAACGCAAAATGCTCAGGCCAGTTCATCATTATTTGGGCAACCATCAACATCGACTGGTTTTGGTGTGACCAAACCGGCTGGTTTTGGATTTAATTCAAATCAAACATCATTGTTCGGGCAACCAACATCAACGGCACAAACAACAAACACGGGCTTCGGTACATTCGGAAGCGCCGGTACATCAGCATTTAGCCAACCGCAAATTATGTCACAAGCAAATGGTACAGCCGAGGGGCAAATCACTTAAAAATTACTTATTAATTATTATTGATTGTTTTGCGATTATTTTTCGATTATTTTCCGATTACTTATCGATTATTTTAAATTTTATTCTTTTCTTTTGTGATTCTCCCCTTAGGTACAGCAGTTGCTAAATATCAACCACATCCCGGCACCGATACACTTATGAAAAATGGCCAAACAAATAACATTACAACGCGACAACATTGCATTACAGCAATGAAAGAATATGAAGCGAAAAGTTTGGAAGAATTGCGTTTAGAAGATTATACAGCCAATCGAAAAGGACCACAAGCGGGCAGCGTTCAACCAAGTGGTGGACTATTTGGTACAACACCACAAAATACGAGCATTTTTGGTGCGCCAGCATCACAGCCACAATCGACCGGTTTATTTGGTGCACAAGCACCAACTAATACACTTGGCGGTTTTGGTCAACCAGCACAAAATACATTTGGTCAACCAGCACCGGCTTTTGGTGCACAAAATCAGCAAGCAAGTCTCTTCAATAAGCCAGCAACAACCGGTTTTGGACAAGTACAGACCACATTCAATCAACAGCCCGCGAGTAATTTATTTGGTAACAAAACATTTGGAGCCCCTACAACAACAGCATCAGCCACTTTTACTGGATTTGGTGAGTTTTTTTTTTTTAATTTCAAATGAAATTTTGAATACAATAAAATTGCCTCATTTTTGTTTTATGTTATATCAATTGAAATATAAATTTTATAGGCGTGCCTGCTGCAAATGCGGCAACACCATTTGGAGGTGCAAAACCATTTGGCCAACCAACGACTGGTCTTTTTGCTTCAACAGCACCAGCAAGTGGAACCACTTTTGGAGCCAGTGCAACATCATTTGGTGCCGGTGGTGGATTTGGTGCAACAGCACCAGCCACAAGTCAACCATCATTATTCGGAACACAAACAAATGCTGGCGGTGGCGCCCTGTTCAGTGGTCTAACATCGTCAGCACCCAATACAGGTTTTGGTGGTTTTGGAAATCCAACAAATACAGCAGCCGGTATGTTTTTATTTTATTCACCAATATAGAAGTAGAAGTGAAGAAATTAAATCAAGGATAGAAATAGAAAAATGAGTGAAGAAGTGCTTAAAAATGTATATATTTCTCTCTCTTAAAACAAAGGCGGTTTATTTGGAGCAAAACCAAACACGGGTTTTGGATCGACATTCGGTGCCCCGGCATCTTCAGCCGCTCCTGGATTCAGTGGACTTGGAACATTCACACCAGCAGCAGGTATTTTATATTTTACAAATTAGAAATAACAGAATGATTGACATATTTATCTCATACACATCAAAGGCTCGTCTTTCGGAACATTCGGAAATGTTGGTCAGTCGTTTAATAAACCAGCCACAACTGCTTTTACTGGCTTCGGAGGAACATCTGCAGCACCAACACTGACTGGAGGTATGGGTCTTGGTTCCAATATGATGGGATTGTAAGTGTTGAAGACTGAATATTTGAAAAAAAAGGTGATTTAATACAATGAAACGCGTCTTTATTTACAGCGGCGGAGCTAATACTGGTTTCCAACAGGCACAACAAGCAACTGTGCCCGTACATCAACACATCTTATCGTTAGCAACATCACCGTATGGCGATAATCCGATATTCAAAGATTTGAAGCCATTTGGAAGCCTAAACGAAGATGCACTCAAGCCAACAAATCCAGCTGCACAAAAAGCCATGTTGGAATCGTCAGCAAATCAATACAAAATTTCTCCGAAAGTTTCGAATGGATTAAGAATAAAGCCAGTTGGATCGACTCTATCGAAGGTAATATTCTCGCAATGAAAATTACGAAATATTTCAACACGATTTTCAATGTGTGTTTTTTTTTATTTTCATTTTTCAATAAAACAGAAGTCATTATTCGGTGGCTTAGAAGAGTTCGACAGTTCCATTGAGGAAAGTTTTAGCTTAAAACCAAATGCAAAACGTTTAATAATCAAACCAAAAGCATCGACTGCATCAAGCTTGACACCAAACCAAAATAATACATCGTTGAATATTACAAGATCACAAGAGACCAGTCCAATTGTATCGAGCGACGAACGACGTTTATCACAATTGCCATCAATATCGGAACCGGATAATATGCGACGTGTTTCATGGTTACATTCCAATTTGGATAAAGTACAACAACAAAATCGTGGCGACACCGATATAAATACAACAATGCAGGATTTAGTTTCGACGGCCAAATCAAAATCGAGCAACATCGATAAGTTAACCACATCGCCGAGTATTTTACGACAAGATCCAAATCGTGTGAACATTTCACCGCTACAACATAAAAGTGTACATTTTTCGGGGCTTAATGCAAACGATAGCCTTTTATCAACGAAATCATTTTTGGACGATACAAATGCAGACATTTCACTTATCAACACCGAACCACATCCAACGGGTATTGTTTTACAACGATCTGGTTATTATACAATACCACCATTGGATAAATTAACCGATTATTTAACTGAAGATGGTAAATGTGTGGTATCCAATTTTACAATTGGTCGAAAAGGTTATGGTAATGTTTACTTTGGCGAACCAATCGATGTTGCCGGCTTAAATTTGGATGAACTTGTTCATTTTCGTCACAAGGAAGTGATCATTTATCCAGATGACGAGAATAAGCCACCGGTCGGTGAAGGTTTGAATCGCAAAGCTCAAATTACATTGGACCAAGTTTGGCCACATGACAAAACATTACATGAACCAATCAAAGATCGTGAACGATTAGACGAATTGAATTATGAATCAAAACTACGGGCTGTTTGTGATAAACATGATACAAGATTTGTTGAATATAGACCGGAAACAGGTAGCTGGGTATTTAAGGTGGATCATTTTTCGAAATATGGACTGAGCGACAGCGATGAAGAGGACAATGCGGCTGAAGCAAAGAAACTTAAACCAAACCAACCCGGCAAAGAAGGTCTCAAATCGAAATTGACTGGAACTATCCCAAAGGTCTGAACAACATTCAAATTAATGAAAAGGAATGAAATTACAAGCAAAACAGAAAATAATACAAAGCTACATATGAATCTATTTTGAGAATGTGGCGAGAGTATGAGAAATTTTTAACTTGTTTTGACAAAATGCATGAAGTAATTGTAGTTCAATAAAATTATAAGTTGAATTTTGTTTTTTCTTCTTCTTTTAATTGAAATTTTATAGACAAACTTAAATAAAAGCAAAGAGACAACATTGCAACGCGATTCATTATTTTCACTACATAAATCTCAAAGAATCGGAGCATATACTGGTAAATTTAACTTATATCAATTATATATAGAGAGAGAAGAAGTAAAATAGAATTTTTCTTTTGATCTTATGATTTATTTTAGAGTTGGCTGATGATCGGGAAATGGAATATGTAAACTTTATGACACCATACGGTCAATATCCAGTCCAAGCGACAAGCCCATCGGCCGACCTGGCCATGGAAATGGGCACTGATCCCACTAAAGTACAAGTGATGAGAGCGTCTTTTTTCGGCATGATGGACGATGATGCCGATGAGTTCGAATCGAAATCAGGTACATTTTTTTAATCCATTTAATAAAACTAGCAGCAAAAAAACTAATTTCAAACATTTTCAATATAAATTTATAGTTAATTACGAAATCTATGGAGATCGTGATAGCCCGGATCAAATTGTGCCGAGCAAACGTCTATTTACATTTCCATCAACAAATTCGCTACTTTCCAAGGAAGTGTCCAGTACAACAAGTTCTAGCACTATTGAAACGCCAATCTTAAGTCCACCATTGCCTTCGATTCGTGAACATGATCAAAGAAAAACCGAATTAATATCTGAGGTAATACAAGATTCGCCAAAGTCAAATCAATTTTATTCCACTTTGAAAAGGTTCTAAACCATTTTTCTTCTTTTTTTCACCCTAAAGCCAAAAAAACTAATTCAAACAAAGGCATTCAAGCCAATTCCATTGGTGTTGAAGCCAAAAGTAGCAACGATACGAGCATCACAGGAAATTGTAACACTACCTGAGTCCATTCAATCGAAAGTTAAGAATAAAAGCATTGCGTCTGATGTTGCATTGTTCCATGGGCGTCGATTTAAAATCGGCTGGAGTCATGCAAATCGTTTGACCATTTTAACAACAGCAATGACATGCAAAAATCAAAATCAATTGACAAACATCTACAACATTTCGGATTTATTCAATGGCCGATCCGAAAACGATACATCCAAATCCGTACTAAAACAAATAAAAATATTTTCATTACAACCAAACGACAAGAAAACATTCGATGCATCGATACAAAATCATTTAGAGTGTCAATTGAAATTTTCGCAACGACAATCTGTCGTTGATAGTGATTGTCCATACTATGTGCCAATCAATGGAACCGAAGCACTGCAACAGCAATATCTATTAGCCGATCAAAATTTTCATGATGCGCCATTGAATGAATTTCTAAAAATAAGCCTTAATGTATGGTCATTGCTTGTTACACTTTGGGGATATCAAGAGGAACTCGATGAAGCTGCCGACGATGACCACTTTGCCATAATGTTGCGTCGTGATTTGTTCTCAAAATGGTTGGAAGAGACGGTGACGGATAAAAAACTATTGGCTCGAACTGAATCGCAAGGGAATTATTTGCAAAATTTACACAAATTACTGACTGCACACAAAGTGAACGAAGCATGTGACCTTGCATTTGAAAATGGTGATATGAATTTGTCATTGCTATTGGCACAGACGGGCGGTGGTAATATTGTACGTGCTTTGGTCGCAAAACAATTACAATCATGGCGTGAAACTGAAGCCGATAAATTTGTTGATACGCATCGAATTAAAGCGATGATGCTTACATCTGGAATGTCAACATATGAATCGTCACGGGGTTTGGTGAATATTTACGAAGATTTAGACTGGGTTAAAGCATTAGCGGTAAGTAATTTAAGAATGATTCACACAAAATTACAACATTGAATTCAACATTCTTTTTTTTTAATCTGTAGATAAATGTTTGGTATCTGTGCTCACCAACGGCTTCAATAACGGATGCACTGCTTAAATACGAAGATGCAACTGTTGTAAATGCAGCCGCACCATTGCCATCTTATTTGAGAAACTATGATACCGACAGTTATATGGATCGAATTCAAGATATTCGTTATCATTTATTAAAATTGTATTCAAAACGCAGTCATTCGCTAGAGAAACTATTGAATCCAGCTACGCATAGTGCCGATTTCATGGATTTCCGTCTGAGTTGGCTATTGTTGCAAGTGCTTAAAAGTATCGGATATCAACATTGTTCAGCCCAATCCGAAGCACAATTGCACGTTTCATTTGCTAGCCAATTGGAAAATTATGGTCTATGGCATTGGTCTATATTCGTATTACTTCATATTCCAAATAAATCACAACGTGAATTGGCAATCCAAGAGATTTTATATCGGTACATTGACCTCACCAAAAATGATGAATACAAAGAAAAAGAATCATTCATTGTCAATGAACTCGGAATACCGGAGAAATGGATTTATTGGGCAAAAGCGGTCAAAGCTGGTGCATTGAAACAGTATCGCGAACAGGCTGACTATTTGCTCAAAGCAAAACAATGGGCACTGGCTCATGAAGTGATTATGGATCAAATCGCTCCTGATGCTATTATTAATGGTAATTTATTTATTTTTATTTTCTTCAGAACTATTATTGGGAGCGGAGAAGTGCGGCTACTTCGATATAATTAAAAAAAAAAAACGGATTTTCTCACTCAAACTTCAAATTTTTTATTAACCGTATCGTTTCTTATACACAGATAACACGAGATACATAAAAGACTTGTTAGATCGCTTTGAAGATCCACGCTTAGTACCGAACTGGGCAAATCAAGGCATGATCATTTTGGATTATCTGGATATGATTGCTAAGGTTTGTAACTTACTCAAATTCTCTCTCTCTCTCCTTCTGAATGAATTAACCACATTATTTACCTTTTTTAGATCGAAAGTCTCAAGACAATCCATGAACGTGATATTGAGACGCGTTGGGAGGGTATGAAGCCACAATTATCTGAATTATGTTCACGCATCAATCTATTTCCATGTCCGACATCGAAGCATCGTTTGTGCCAGAGTGAAATTGCCCAAGGATTGGCGATCTTAGTGAATGGCATGGAAATTCTCTCGTCTGACATAAATCCATGTTTGCTAGTGCAAACAGCATTAGAGAAATTACCTTTGCCAGAAGAATATGCTAAACAGAAAATGCGTTCATTATTGGACAACAGCAATTTAATTGAAATGCTACAAAACGATGAAAACTAAACTATAAAATTTAACCAATTGAATAGAGCGATAAATGTTAAGAATAATGAAAAAGTTTTGATTAGAACACATTTTGTAATAATGGAGTAAAATAAATTCTGAAAAAAAAAACAATAAATAACTCAAAGTCCGATTAGGATATTAGGAAGATTATGCGATTTTTATAATTTGAAATAGTTAAATTTATTTAAGTAAAAACATTAAACAATAAATACAGTATAGAAATAAAAAAAAATGTCTTGCATTTTAATTTATTGTAACATTTAACATATCATTTTTTTTGAAATCAGGTTTAGCTAATTAAGTAATCAATACAGAATTAGTTTATTTTTTATACATTTTTTTTGGTATTTTAGTATGGTTTGTAATTTTTATCAGCAAGCCTCATCTGCTTGGATGGTTGCGTATATGTCATAGGACGCTCCCTTCGCACAAGAAGAGTTTTGCATTTTCCTTTTTTTGTGTCGCATAAATTGTAATCTGGGTCATCATGTTTATCTTTACTCGGTCGTTTAATTTCCTAATAAATACTGGCCACTCTATTTTTCAATGCTAAAATATTCGCAATCAATAATATCACCTACAATGGTACATCCGTCTTTGACCTTCTTCTTATATTTTGATGGGGTATTGGCCATCAAAATGCCTGATTCATCGAGAAAGATGCAGAGTAATGTAATCTTCTTGATGCATTCATGTCTCTCAAAGAAATCCACAAAGTGTTGAGCCGAATCGAAAATGGTAAAAAACATTTTCAATTCAATTGACTGCGGATGGTCTCCATTTTGAAGATACACCAATGCCTCTTCAATTTCATCCAAATCAATTACTTGAATACAAACCAATTGAAGTCGTTCGATCGTTGGGTATGCATGAACAAAATCCATCCAGCCGCCCTCGACCAAGTCACAGGTATTGCATGCAATAGAAAATTCTTTAAGTTGCTTGAATACGAACACGTCCAATGGTTTGATGCGATTTCCATGTACATACGGTTCGGATGTGACAACAAATTTTTCGACGCTATCAAATGGAATCGCTGGCCCACGAAAACTTTGAACTTGATTCGGTGCATATGAAATTTCGAATATTTCTAAACTCTTGAGCTCGGTGCTAATGTGTTCCCATATTCTTGGATTGTAATATTTGTTCAACGATAAATGCAAAATCCGTGGATTTAAATTGATTAAACGAATAAAATCTCGGGCAACAAATTTGATTGGAAATTTTTCAGAGAAATTGAAATGCACATACTCCATATTATTGTATGCTTTGACAATGCACTTGGCATTTGGAATGTTACAACTTTTCAGCATCATGAGACGCAAACGAGGGAACAATTTGTTCAAATTCGGTTGTTCGGGACACACCATGCCATCGACTAAATAAATTTCTTCAACATTTTCGAAGACTTTTTTCAGGCCTACAAACATGTCTGTTGTTCTTAATTGAGTATCCCAATTGTTCATCAACAGTGATCTTAGCGATTTGTTGCAATGTTTATTAACTTGTTGGAAAAATTTCTGACACAATCCATTGAACGGCATTTGAATATTCAGTTTCGTAATGGATTTGCCAAAAATGCGTACTACTTTGAATGCCAACAATGGCTTAACAATTATAATATCCGATTCATCGACGTAGATACGATCGCTTATTGGCGGTCGTCCCAAAATATCAACATTCGGATACTGTCTGTAATATGCTTCATCAAGTAAATTAATAATCATTTCTCTTGCTTTGAATTTTCGACGATATACACTACCGGCCAACCCTTGAAATTGCTTACTTATTTCGCCAACAGTGATTAAATCCTCAAGTTGCAATAAATCCAAGATATATTCGATACAATCGTCAACCATATCCGATAGCTGTTTTGTTGGTTTCAATTCACTTGCTGCTGCTGGTTCCTTTCGCTTCCGTTTTTCGTTCAATTTTCGATATTTTGATAACACTTTTCGCTTTAGAACTATTTTTTCCATGTTGAGACTGGTCTAAAATTCAAATGAAGAGAAAACAAAAGAGTCAAACAAAGTAATTAACTAATTAGGCGTCTATACTGTTCTCTTGAAAATTGTTTTGATTAGATGCTGACTGTTTCAACTGTCGGAATGAAATAAAAACATTTTTGAAATGCATAAATATCCATAATGACATTAATTAGTGAACTAAAAATGTTTTGATATGTTTTCTTCACAGATGGCGCCACAAATGTAATCACATTAAAAGCTTCATGAATTTCGAACATTCGAACGAATGAACCGACAGAAGAAAACCGTAAACAATTCACACGCACACACACACACAGCCACAAGTAGCGTGCGACACATAGCGATCCGCAAGTGATCACGCATGCTGGTCTGATGAATTTTATTTCGTCTTCTCTTTTTTTGTACAAATTGACGCGATATGTGAACGCGAGACGATACTTCGCTTTGGTAGCCGCTTCAATTGTGTATGTGCTGTCATAGCAAGCGCTCATAAGATATCGGTATTCAGTTGTTTTACAAAAATTGTGAAGTAAAGTGAGAAGGAGCGATTGTATGAGCCAAAATGCACATCGAAATAATGAATTAAATGAAAATGAATAGTGTCAAAAAGAATTTGACCGCGGTTGGTCCTTTTTGTACAAAATAAAGTGAAAATATCATTTTATTTTATTTTTTTTTTCTACTTAATATCCATTTAGTGAAAAAAGATATCAGTGTATTTTGCGTGTTTCATGTGATAGAGTTGTTTACATTTTGTGTTGTTCGCTTTGTTCACCGTACAATGTAAAAGAAAAAAAACTAGTGACACAACTAAAGACCGAATCATCAAATAGATAATGTGTGTGAAATGTGTGCGTGTGTACAAAAAATACCATAACAAATTGTAAATATTATTATAATTCTATATGGATATTCCATAATCGAAAACGAATCGCTCGAGCTAAATCCGTATCCGAGAATTGAAATAAAGAAATAAATAAAAAAATGATCGATACAAAAGAAGATACAATGACCGTGTGGAAAAGTGTTGGCGAAAAGAAATTATACGGGATCGGTACGTGTTTTCAATGAATTAAAACAAACCAAATTTTTGTTACATACGAATTTTAGATGAAATACGAATGTGACGCTCCCAAATGAATGTATCGAAAATATCAAACACACAAAAAAATATATACACAATACAGATATTTGTCGCCTTCTCCGTATGAATTTCAATTGGTTTGCATAAAATATATATATTAATATTTTTTCCGCCGCATTCAAATCAGTACCACAACCACGATGACGATGAAAAAGAAAAAGAAAGGGACAACAAAGCAAAATATAAATAATCGTGAATTCTGTGAAAATGTCATGATTAATCATTTACAGTTTTTTGTATGTATACAAAACACGCGCGCTCGCTGCGTTTGCACAAAACCTCTAATTTTCTGCTTATAATTTTGTTTGGCATTTGGACCATTGGGCTATTTACTTGATCATTATTATTGTTCCCATAAATATAGTATTCGCTTTTATTTATTATTTATTTTCAAATAATCATATTTGAATTGAGTATTGAAAGTAGCAATGGAAGAAAACTAAATAAAACCAACGGATGGCAACATAAACAACAATTCAATAAGATCGGGTGCCCGTTTCTAAAGTGTGAAAGTTGTTGGATGGACATTTGATTTTTTTTAATGAGTTAAGATCAATTATGAGCGTTTGAATCATCATTGTGGCCGTGGTTGTTGTTGTCGTCATCATCATCGTCGTCGTTGTCGTTCCTATCTATCATAATGGAATGAAAACTTAAGTGATCTATTCTCGACATTGAATGCGTGAATGCCTTTTGATCTATTGGCTCATCGCCATATGTGTGTGTGTTTATGTGTGTACTTGTTCAATCAATTGGAAGCGGCTACATTTTTCCGTACATAACACATAGACTCTTCCTTGTTTTGTATCTATTTTTTCTTCTCTCTTCACGTTTCTATATTGACTAATGTATTTCCCACCCTGCATGTGCGTGTGAATGCATGCAACACATGTGTGCGTGTTTGAATGGACTATGTGAATGGCTTCTTCATAGGAAACATTTTTCACCAGAAACAACATCAGAGTATGTAGTAGGTTATAAATTAAGGGAAAAAGGCAAGGCGCAGAACAATACTGTTAGGAGAGAGAAAAAAAAAAGATGTGTGTACAAAACGCATGTTGGTGTTTATTCTCTACTTGAAAAACACTTTGAATCCATGCCGAGAGTCTTTTTTCACTCCATCTCTTTCTCATTCTCTATCTTGGCCATTTCTTGTCTACCAAGCAATTGATGTAGTTTATGATTTTTAGTTTTATTATTATGTTACTTTCTTTATCGGTCGACGGTGTTTCTCATGAGTTGTGTCTTGTAAAGAGACCAACAACAGAAGAAGTTAACACACAAAAAAATCATAAACGAACAAGACAAGAGATAAATATGCGAAAATAAAAGAAGTAAAGTTAATCTATTTCGGTTTGTATGCGAAGAGGCATTTTATGTTCTGGGAATTTTGGCCGGCGCAGGTATTCCTTGTTCCACAAATCACAGAGGCATAAACACACAAACACCGAATTGTGGCCCGGCTCGGTGTTTTTTTTTTCTCTTCATTTAGTACTTTTTCTCTGTTGCCGCGTCATGACCATGTCTTTCAATCTCTTGCCGCTCAGGCAATTGCACAATGCCAATGTATTTGTTGTATTCGCAAAAATCTCTCAATTGAATGCACATTTTGTCAAGTTCAAAATGAGTCCGACCGCTGTTGATATATTTTCATTAATATATTCTTTCTCACACAAATTGAACGCAAAACATTTGTTGTACAATTTTCTTTTTCTCGTTTTTATTGTATTTTCTCTGTTGTTCAGTTATTGTGAAGGCAATTGAGTTCTTTCTTTCTCTTTTGCTTCTTTTTTTTTTTTTTTCAATTTTTAAGTTTGACATTTTTGTTTTTGTTGCTTTCAAAACATTTGAATTTCGAGCACTTCCGATAATAATTTGCTAAGCACTTACTGTGACATTCAGAGAAATGCATTAGAGTTGAGTTGTATTATACAAAAATGGAATTTAGAAGGACAATATAATGACGGTCATAGTTGAAAATTCCTTGCACATATTTGCACTCTAATGTTTATCCGTCAGTCAACATAAAATGCTGGAAACAGACACGCCCTCATTTAATGAGCGAGAAAAGTAAAGGAAAAATAATAACAACAAAAACACATAAATATCGAATAGCAAAAAATAATTCATAAATGCGTATGTGAACGCACCAAATTGCCGTTATACACGTTAATCTTACCAATGTTATGCTGTTGGATTGATGTTGATCCAGACGGGTGAGATCGTTTGGTAAACGGTTTTCATTGTATTTTGTTTTCATGCTCCCTTATTCGATTGCATCGACCCGGTCGCTTGTAATTGAAATAATGATGCTTATTGTTGGTTGCAAAATACACAAATTCAGCTTTTATGCGTTTTAATTGTAATCTCGGTGCCTATAAGTGAATGAATGTATGAATGAATGATTCACGGGCAAAAACCCTGTCGAGACGGCTGCGTAATGTAAACACATACAGTGAAAGCAAACACACACGCACACACGCCGCTCTCGTAATGTGTTTGCAATCATTTAATTCATTTTTTCGTTCCCATGTAGAAACGGAGTCGACTACAACTTCACCTATTTTATGCATGGATTATAACTATGATTGCATTCAGTCAATGGAATGATCTGGCATTCGTGGCGTGAACTCGAACACACTTTTTTACGATCTTTACACACATAATCGCGGTGTCCGTAGTCGTGCCACTCGATTATGCTCTGAATTTATAAGTTATGCGTGCGTGCCAGCCAACGAGTATGAGCTCATCTTGAAAGATGATGAACACAGACACACACACAAAACAAATGTGTTTGAGATAATTTGCAAAACAATTATTTTTACATGATTTTCATTTAGCTAATTGAATTTCTCACCGAAACGAAATGTAAATGGAATGCGAACACAGCTATTAAAATAAGAAAACAAATTACACAGCCACACACAATTGCAAAGCGCAATTTCTTATTCAATTGCGCGGTGTGTATGTGTTTTTTTTTTCTTCTTTCATTTCACTTGTTCGCGCCCATTTCAAGCATGTTCGCTAAAGAGTTTCTTGTTTCATTCAACCAGTGTGTCGTTTGGGGTTTTTTCCTTCTCTATCTCGTTTAAAATTACAACTTTGCCTTTTGTTTCGACAAAAATACTTTATTGCGCATTCTACGAAAGTGATAATACGCACAGAGAGACTATCTGTGGCCCGGTGTGTTTGTACTTATATTTCTGTGCAGTACATGGTCAGCATGTATGAAGTAAGCTAACAAAAAGGTACAATCAAATAATTATCGCAATGTAACTTTTTTTTTTGCTCATGAAATTTGAAATTCACACAAACACTACTTTGGCCGCTATAGAGTACAATGTGAAACATTCACACTTTATGTACGATATAATAAAATCTTATCTAACAAAATATTTTCCAAGTCAATACCAATTAAAGGTCCAAGCCCTTGTTTATATGCCATATTATATTATCTTATTGCTACAGTTTTTGCTATTTCGTTTGAATTATAACATAAAAGCACACATGATAAAAATTCCGTTTGTTTTCAATTGCAAAATTTCGATAACAGCTGAGTGAGCTAAGACAGCAAATGCTGATATTTTGTTTGCATCGTATAGATACCATTGTTTGTGGTCCGAACTCAGATAAAAAACGATATTACAAAGAAGAAAAAAATGTTGGCCGCTGTAACCGTGCGTGCCTATCGTCGATCGACTTATCACTCGAATGGAATGATTAATCGAAACCCTTTCGACACTCTCTCATTAACCGTAACATTACTCATGTTTATCAATGATAAAACTGCACATTCTGTTTGTTTTCTCTCTCATTCTCTTTCCGCAACCTGTTTACATCTCTTCTTGTGGAATTTCAACCAGCAACAACAGCAACAACAACAACGAAATCACAACGAAAAAAATGAAATGGTTTGGGACGCAAAACTTGCATAATTTGTTGCACACTTTCAGATCATGTCAGAATTCCATCAAAACCCGTTGCAAAATATCGAAATCGGAAATTTACTTAGCTGGAATAGAGCTGAGATGAGAGATGTACAAAGTCCAAATAAAAAAAATGTATATGATAAAATAAGCAAACACAATACACACAAAAGTAAATACCAACGTGATTCGTGCGAAATATTGTTATTCAGCGGGAGAACAAACAATCGTGTCTTTTCGTTGCACTCCATGTAAATGTACACCAATATTAATAATTACTTAATAGTTCGTTTTCATTGCCTTTGTTGCTTTGACTTCGATTGTTGCCGTGATTTTTTTTTCTCTCGTTTCATTCTTCGAATTTTGCCGAGATATATTTCTCTCGCGTGTTCTCTTTGTAACCGATTTCGGTCTTTGTTTGCATTGTGTCATTTGATTATATGTATGCGAAATGACAAGGTGTTTTCTGTGATCAACGACTCGATAATAAACAATTCAATATGCTATATTATTAGCATTTGTTTGTCGAATATTTGATGGTAGACGCGAAAACCGTTCACACCAATCTCATGCTTTGCGAATCAACATGTTTCAGATCCTCAAACAACTTGTTTTCTTAAGATTTAGCGTCTATTTTATGTTCAATATTGGCATAAACCTTTTTTTTTTCGAAAATTCGTCGCGCAAATGTTGTTGTATGCTTACTACATTTCCATCGAATAGTTCAAAGGTGATTGATATACATTCAAACAAATTGATGCATCATCAAAAAGTTGAAGCACCAAAGAAAAAAACAACCACAATATTATGTATACGATGCATTTATTAATGTTAAGTTGGAGTGTATTTGCAAATTGAACTGCAAATTTTGAATGAAATCAATTGGTTGTTGTGTGTTTGTTCGGCGGCTACTGTTGCTTGTTCATTTTAACACACAAACAAGAGCAAAAATCGTAACCTTGTCGTGTAACTCTTTCGTGTGCA